TCTCCTTTTCCTCTTACGACAGACACACTTTAAAATACATATTAATTAGCCTCGATGTGCAAAAAAAGAATGTGCTTAAATTCACACAGTGCCTTTGAGCCTGGAGAGCAGATCAGAATGTCCAGCATATTAACCATTTTTGGGAGATGGAAGGAGTGGCTTGGAGCAGGCGAATGTGATGAAAACAAGACACACGAGGGACAGGAGGACTCCCATAGCAACAGTTACAAACAGAAGACAGGTCAAACTAGCAGTAGCATCTGTTTGGTTGCTTGTCAAGCACACTGCGGTGTGATGTGCTCGCTAGTTTTGTTGCTAGGGAGTGTTAGATTGAGTTTGCTTTTGTCCTGTGTAGTGTGTAAAAGCCCACAAAGCAATAGCTGTTGCTTGAAAGGGTTTCTGGCCTGCAGAAAAGAGGAAGAAAAATAGGTTTTATTAGGACATAAACATTAAAGATTTAGAGTAAGAAAAGTGGAGATCCAAATAATGAACAGGGTGATTGATTATAATATGCCCGGCTACTCTCTAAGCGATCCTGCTCTTTTCTAATAGCATTTAACGTTATAGCTTATTTTTATAATAACCTCATAAACTAAGCTTTTTATTTCTGCCTGGAGTAGCGGGGTGTCTCTTCTTCTACAACAATGAAGTTAAAAGGACCATCTCCTTGTTTGATAATCTGCGGGGATGGGCTTCTCTCCTGCCTGTGTGTCTGCTTGTCTCTGTCACACAACAACAAACAACAGTGATACTATTTTTTAATAATTATAGCGAATGAACTTTGAATCTTTTAAACTATAATTCTGTCGAAGTCTTAAACATTGTAATAGTTGTGCATTTGATGTAAAAAAGTAGATTTCAACCAGATGTTCATAAGAGGGAAGTAAATGAGTCCTCTGCAGCGGTCGGTATTTATCTTTTGAAAGCTGGTTGTGCTTTGCTTAACTGTTTAAAGGTGATGAAATGACGCATCTTGTCACGTCACACAAACCTCTGCTCTTCAGATACGTAGTCGTCTCATTCACACAAATGACACGGGTCTGCCTGAAACAAGCAATGAGCCATTTTCGCAGCTAAAAATCATGGTTTTGATCAGACCATCCAGCACATGTGGAAGTTTGTGTTTGACAAGAAACACATGAGTATTTGTGAGTAAATCAATGATTCATGACTAGTTTCATGAGAGGAACCAGGTGTGGTTTCATTGGGCTCCTGTTTCAGTATTCTATTCTTGGTATTATCAGCCTGTGCATGCCGATATCTATTCCACTTTGATGCTCCCTTCCCCACTGTGACAAGTGATGAAGTTTTACTTTACTGCAAACATCTACACCTTAATATTTGTAATATATAATATGTATTTCTTTCCGTAGATGTTTCTAGAGAGTATGCTGTGTGTAGCTCCGTACGTCATGACTGTTAACAGCCAGGTGGTATGGTTGCTACTGGAAACAGATGCAATCGCTGTTTAAGATGCACAAAGGTATATTGTTGCTGGAGGATCAGGTACACATGAAGCAGCAGTGAGGTTTAACCCTGGCATCATCACGTATGACGGGGCTGACGTCCTGCTTTGTGCATATTCGGTGGCTAAGAGAGAGATGCATGGCTGACAGTGTTGCTAGGAGACCACACACAGCGACTAGTGTGAGAGGCTTGATTTCACCTCCCTCCCCCATTCTTGTAGTCTGGCTGCGTTTCACTGTTTTTCGATCCTCTCCTCCTCGCACATGCCTCCATTTGCTCATTCCCTTCACTCTCATATTCCCTGCCTCGATATCTCCTTCCATCAGTCTGTCTCGAGTTTTATGTTTTCCGCCTAATCATATTTATCTTCAGCCCCGCTGATCCCTCAGTGACTCTCCATTTATCGGCTTCCCCCATTTTTTGCCGTGCCCCCTCCCCATCTCTCTCCCGCTGCCTCGATCTCTTCTCCTCTCTAGCTGTGTGCATCTCAAGCTGCTCATTCTTCTCCTGAGCGTTTCACTCTGTCCTCTTGCTGCTTCCTCTCTGTCACTCTCATCTTCTCTCCGCTTGATTCTGAACAGCATCCCTGTGTCTGGCTCAAGTGCAGCTGTGGGGTCAAGTTATGATACTGTACGGTGGTGGGCCGAAATGGCTGCGGTATTAAGGAGAAACTGAATAAACTCAAGCATATGTGCAGTATCTTAAATATGGAACCTACATCAGTGATAAAATGAGACTTAAATCCAGCTTTCACTTACTGTCACATACTGCGTTATAAAGTAAAAAAGTGATAATTTGCTATTTAATTTAGGCCCAAAGGGATGCAAACCTGAACATCTTCGTACTGGATGTGCAGAAGTAAGAAGATGATGTCTATAGTGAAGAAGATATTCTGTACTATCTGCCCTTTGCAAAGCAAACATATCTTATGAATGCTTTTTCTGCAGTCAAAAAGGGTGGCAGGTTGGTACTTGTTGATATTTACAATATCTTGTTTGCATTTATTGTCTGCAAAACAGGAGGGTTAATATACTGCTGTGTGTAGACAAATGTGTGTTTTGAGTATGTTTTGAAGCTATTGGCCATAACCCAAGTCCAGACCAGTGCAGCGACATGTCCCTCCACTCTGCAGCAGTACTGCCTCACTCACAGTGAGGTGCAGCAACACTACAGGACCTCAAGCTGAGGTGGAGCTGGAGGGCAGAGGGCTGCAGCACAAAACATTCCAGAAGGGTTAAAAAGGTGGCGGTGAAAGACAGATTTTAGTCGGAGGATACAGAAATTGTACGGTTATAGCTAATTATTTGGATGTATTATATTTTGCTCATAACTTAGCTCTTTCTCACACCTATACTCCACATGTTTAGCATTTCCAAATTATTAATAATGATAATGATCAAAATTTCCTATCATTAATAACCCCACACTCAAATCAGCTGCTGAGCATTTACAATTACCCCTTCACATCCCTGCGTGCATGTGTGTTTAGCATGTATGGCGGATTCCAGTATATGCGTGTGATCTGTTTTCTTATGTGCATGAGTGAGTAGTCTGCAGCGATGCATGCGCATACGGTTACACGAACCATGGCTCCATCTGCCTCTGTGTTCTAATGACAGGAATTCAAGAGACTCCTGACACTACATTTTCCAAAATTTATTTGGGATTTAAAGTCACTCTAGGGATCAATGCCAACCAACCAGTATGAGTATACCACATGTTTTGTGTCAGTCTGTAAAATTCATGTGTGCAGCCCAGTTTGATAAACCTGTAAGATGAGGTTATCCTGGTTCTTTAAGCTTGGCTAATTGCACACCAACCCACAGCATGTAATGTGGCAATTGCAGGGCTGCTTGCTCAGCTGCCAGATCCTAGAAACCAAAATCAAAGCTCCAGTTAACAAAAGCCCCGCCTACAGTCGCAGCTCCCTAACCTAATTAACATTGAGTCAGCAAGCATGGCGGCAGCAGCAGCAGCAGCCGAGGTTGTGGTCAGGGCTTCGGGATACAAGAATAGCAGTAGCCACGCTGACATACTGGATGACACACTGGGCCGTGACAAAAGAATCACACTTAGCTACACCACTCAGCATGCTGCCTGGCCCAGGTGACAGTGACTGACGCTATGTGGATTTTTGGTCCCTATAGTGAGATATGGTTGAGGTATTGACATTTATAATATATATATACACATTTATAAATGTATATATATATATATAAATGTGTGTGTATATATATATATATATATATATATAAATGTATCTATGTATATGTATGTATGTATATATATATGTATATATGTATATGTATATGTATGTATATGTATATGTATATATATATGTATGTATATATGTATATATATATAAATGTATATGTATATATATATGTATGTGTATATATGTATAGATATGTATATATATATAAATGTATATATGTATATGTATATATATATATGTATGTGTATATATGTATAGATATGTATATGTGTCTATATATGTGTATATATATTTATATAATATATATATTATATTATAAATATTCTATAAATATTTTCATGTTGCTTGAATCATCAGTCAAGAAGTGCAACAGCATAATTCAGAGCTCATTAAACAAGATTCAGATGCACTTTCATTGTAACGTGTTGCACAATGCATGCACAGAGAGATTTTAAAAAGTTTTGTTTTATAGTATAACTTTGTTTCTGTTTTCTGCTTTGTAAGACTGTAGACCCGGAAATAAAATTACTAACCAACAATGTTGCAAATACTATGAAGCTCAGCTTAATGCATCTCACATGAAGCGACTGATTCAGTTTCCTTCAGCAAAAAAGGCTGTTGAACAGAAAACAAACGGATGCCAGAAGCCCCAATCATAATGCTCCAGTGTCCATCAATTAAAAAAAAACATTCAAACTGTTTCTATTTAGGATGAAAAATCACTGGAAACATGCATCAGCTGACAGCTGCACTTTTCTTAGCCAATCGCGTTGCGCACTCACATTCTCCAACTTGAAAACAGTTGATTCTGCCCCACAACAAGCCTGACTTCTCATGGGGTGAGCGTGAGTAGGAAGCTGTGCATGCACTACATATGACAAACCACATTACTGTCTGGCTAGCAAACTGACTTAGCTAGGCCATCCCAGGGCCTGCAGCCAGAGACGCTCTGCAGCTGAGTTACCATGCTTACTCAAATATTCATAACTGGATAATGAAAATATAAATAGTTTCCATGTGATACACTAGACGTTGGGGTAAACAAACTGCAACCTCCATCATCATGCATCACTGTGCCTCTGCTTTGAAGGCTGCAAATGGGCAGGATTGTTCGCTATGACACAGTGAGCATGATAAGCTATGACTCCCCTTAAATTCTGCCAGTAATTTGGGTTTGATTATGTGGGTTTCATAGTGCACCTCCACATCAAAAAGTAATCTCTGTTATCATGTTCACTGCAAGTAGGCCGGGAAAGTATTGAACATGTTTTTTAATGATTAATGAGCTCAAACAATGACCTTGTTTCTTCTTGTTCAGGTGAGTTGGAGGAGAGTCCCTGTGACAAACGTCCACTTCTCCCGAGTCTTCTTCTATACCATGAGCTCTGGCTCTGCCCAGGATGTGGCAGTCGAGCATTTCCTGCGTGACATAGAGAGGCGAAGCAAGCGGCTGCACTGCGCTGTGATAGGCTGCGAGGAGGAGCGACCCTGCAGCGACATGAACCTGCTGTATCGTAAGAGCCGTTTGGACTGGAGGCAGAAGGACCAAGAGGGAAGTAAAAAGAGGTGAGAGGATCTAGCTCACAGGAACTCTGCATATGTGGGATTACATTAGAGTTCAGTTCAGTGGGGATATAAACCTCTTAGCCGGCATGACTGAGTTTAATTTAAAAATCTTAATTCCAAGCACAGTTCATGAATTCAGTCGTGTTCGCCTGTAAAGTCTTGGACAAATTTGCATAGTGGAGCTTCATAATAAAGTTAATATGTTCTGTAGATGAGATACGCTACTATAATGTCAGCCAAAATGTCAGAGGGCAAAAGGGGGCCAAAACCAATGAAAAAGAACATTAAATAGAGTCGTTTCCTCATTTGTCTCAATACACATGTGATTATTTTGTCTTTTCATCAGAGGTTCTAACCTTTAAGGTTTATTAAGGCCATTTGTTTTAATTCACAGCAATGTATCATGTGAAGGTGGATCATTATACCCAACTTTGACCAGCAACAACAATATTAACAATCTAACAATGTCATAAATGATCATATAACACTCATGGTGGTCATTTTTCTGCAGAATGAGTACTTTTACTTTATATTCTTTAAATAAATTTTGCTGATAATATGTGGTGCTAATTAGCAGAGTTTCAGGAGCGGGACCACACGTCAAGCGCGTCATCGCCAACATTTCCATAAATACCCACATGTCCTAAGTCCTCCCCTTTACCCTCGTATCCTGCATCCCTCCCTCCCATCCCTTTCTCTCTCCTGCCTCCTGATCTCCTTCCTCCTCTCCATAGGTTTATAGGGGGTCCGTCGTGTACAGGTGCTACTGCGGATTTCCCTATCGTAGCTTCCCCACAACGCTTTCTAATGTCTATTCAGCTACTGCAAGCTTCATACATCTTCTGTTCGTTACTCAATAAATCATACCCGTTGATTGTGGTCCTTGCTAGTGAATCACTTTTTTTTACGTAGAATTAACTTTTACCCATGTAGTATTTTGAACATATGCCTTTCACTTGTAATAAATTGTTGTATTTTTACTTTTGCTTAGGGACTTTTATTTGAGAATCTGAATACTTGGCCTGCCAGCAATGTTTCAATAGGAGAGAAGAGTGTTGTTAAATGAGGTGCAGTGTGTGTTCAGGGCTCTAATTTCTCCACCATTACAACACAGTTAGCTGCTGATGTATCAGGTCCAGCCTCTCTCTTTGGACATCTTCCAGCAGAAGTGAAAAGTAATCATAATAAAGCACAACAGAGACTAGGTGCTGGTCTTGTCAATAATGTTAATGATAATAATAATATTTAAATCATTTTTATGTGATTTTAGGGTCAAATGAAATCAAACGCATTTAAACTGCGTTTTATACAGACACACTGAAAGACGCCCAAGCATCAGAACAAACCAATTCAGTTATAATAGAACAAATTCAAGCTCTCTACAAAAGCGGACAAAACGGATCTCAGCAACAGAAAATCATCTCACTCTAAATCACAGTTTGGTCGTGACAGTATTGTCTTGAAAAGTGTGTGCATGCCCATGAGTGAGGGATCTTGTGTATCTGAGCGTTTGTTTCGGGGACCGAGGGGTGATGTACTATTCATATTTGAGTCACCTATAATTCACTAAATTTCACATTGTGTACGGGCGCTATTTGTGAAGCAGAGGAGAGGGAGCACATCAGTTTGTTTAGAAGTGGCGTCCAGTGCTTTCTGACTCATGGCGGTTATTGGAGGCCCTCGTGTTGGCAGCAGAGATCAACGTCATGGCAGCATGAAGCCAGTGGAGGTGTAAGGCAGCAAGTGGGACAGCGGGACATGATGAGCGATGAAAGCAGAGCCGAGCTGGGCCAAAGCAGCAGCAGAGGTGAGAAGCAGGACATGACCAGGGATGATTACGAGCAGGGCATGGTCAGGGATGAAACCGCACTGGGACAAAGGGATGGAAACCAAATGGACTCGAGGCAGGGCTGGCAACGACTGGTGGAAGTGAGGGACGTGGTGGGGGGGAGCAGTATGAAAGGCACCGGTAGACCGTTTGAGATCTCAAGGCCCTCAGCAGAAAAATCACATTTATAAAGCAGAGACGTCTGTGCAGATACAGAATGGTAAATAGGTGAGTTTCAATATGAGTTTTAAAAATAGAGACTGTTTCTTATGGCACAAATACAGGCAGACAGACTGTTCCCAGTAGTGATGACTGGTGAAGGAAAGCCTTGCTGCCAGCTGAGGTTTTATTAATTCTTGCACAGAATTATTAGACCAGTGTGAACGAGCTGGCATGGGTGTAGCCTGGCACCCCCAGTGTGTATGCAGGATATGGAGGACTTATGCCGCTTTCCAGACTGGTCGGAACTGGGAAATTTCCAAGTTGAAATATCCGATTTCCGACCTCAAAGTGTTTCAGTTGCATGGTGGTGCATGACGCCAAATGTAAACAATAAACATGGCTGACCATGACAAACTTATGTTCCTTTGTCAAGTTTTTGCACAGTTAAACCTTCAGGGTGTACCCCGCCTTTAGTCAGCTGGGATTGGCTCCAGCCCCCCTTGACCCTGTACACAGGATAAGCGGTTGACGATGGATGGATGGATGGACTTTACTGTGCCTTTTAGTTTATGGTTTACCATTTACAATGTATGCTTCCATGGGAGTTGCCATTGTTGTGAAATGTAATTCAGCTGCTACTTGTGAAGTCGCGGGACATATTTTTTCTCCGAGTTCACAAGTAGGAAATCCGACAGGTAGCGGTCCATAGTACTTTTTCTAGTTGAAAGTCAGAAATTCCCCAGTTCCGAGTTGCCTGGAACACAGCATAAACAAGCCTTGGTTATCCTTTGAAAGCAATTTAGTAAGTGATTTTCACTTAGACAGTTAGACAAGAGGCGTGAATAAGATACAAATCAAAACAATCAATTAATGAATGCAAATTTCATTGGATTTATTAATATCTATAATGGATAAATGGATTATTTCTTTTACATAGGAATTATTTTAAGCATGAACGCTTTTGAAAATGTAGTTGACTGAACAGCTAATTAAAGGTAAATATATGGTAACTTAATAATAGAACTGTATAAGGGAAGATAAAAGGGAATTCTTTTCAGTTTGCAGGAACTAGTTTCTTTAGTTACATTTCAACTCTTGTATAACTTACTTCAAGGTCTTTGGCAAAATAATCTAACAAAGCTTCCACAATCCAATTTATAAACAGAAACAAAAAACATTGGAAATGTTTCTAATGGAAGGAAACTATGTGACTTCTTAGGGCAACACTCCCGTCATCTTCATAAAGTGTGTCTTTGGACAGTTTTCTTTACCGGGAAAATAACATTTTTCCAGTATGGATACATGAATTTATTAATTGGGTCTCACTGTCTGAATATGACTGAGCTCAACAGACGTGGGTACAAATGAGGCAAAATAAAATTAAGTTGATGAATATGTTTTTGTTGTTGTTTTAAAACAATTTAAGTTTAAAACACATCTACATCTTAAGTGTGAACGCTGAATATAGTTTAGTTCTATCATGCAACATACAAATTCAGATCAAAGCACAAATGGATCTTATTGTTTCAAACCATTGACCTGATACTGAATCCTGAATAACTATTAAAATGCCAATTAGGAATTGAGATGAAGAGAGAATCAGTCCAAGATTCACATTCCTATTGTGTCCCTTTTATACATACAGAAGAGAGTTATTTGTTATCACATTCTTAACATCTTAATCACATGGTTCAAAGCACTTTCAGAGCTTCGAATCGTGTTCTGAATGATTTGAATTTATTCACTTTTGTTATGAATAAGATTCAGATATTTGTTTGCAAGTGAATGTGAATGTTCTCCTCATCTCGACAGCCTGGCCTCATAAACAATGATACACAGTCCTTGTCACATAAATAAAAAACTTAAATGGTAGCGTCTAAAATTACTGTTGAGTTTCAGGCATACAAAGACAAGTATTTGTTTGTTGTGGAATCTTAAAGAAGTTATTATCTGTGCAGTTATTTGTTGCAGAGATGTAGTGATAAATGGAAAATTTATTTTTGTCGTTGGTCGCTTTAGGGGCACCTACAACTGTGTGTCACAAGCTGGCAAAAAATACTACAATAGTGCTGGTAGAAGAATCAATAGGCAAAGCTTCTGCTTCATTGCTTTGAGTCAAACCTCCAGGCAGTTTTACTTTTTATATAATTTTCTTCCTGTGACAGAAGAAGAATCAGATCAGTTTAAAGCCGTGCTAGAGACAACCCATAACTTAAGGCAATCAATTAAAGAGTCGTGTATTGTGTCACATATGTCAGTAAGGTCCAACAGAATGAGGACAGCTACACACTCGCTGTCAGATACTCAACCTTAACCCATCTAAAACTTAAACAGGAGGATGACTTAACTGCTCTGATTTGCCCTTAAACCAGATAGGATGTTCTCAAAGATAATATTTTTTTTTTACAGATAGTCTCATTGAGCGGTTCAAACATAACCCGCTCTTAAACTTTGCCCCAAAAAGGTAAATTAGAAATAGGACGTTAGCTGCTAGGGGCAGAATTATCTAAACTGGATTTCTTCTGCAGAAGCTTTATCACCACAGTCTTAAAAGCTTTTGGGAATATCTCTCACTCTGAGGAGGAGGTGGTATTCAAGAGTCTGTTCAAGGATAAATCTACCAAAGGTGTTGTTCAAAAGGTCTAAAGAGAAGCATCATGGAGACCTCACACGGGTTGATTGGCAGGGACAATTATGTATGTTTCTCTGTGCTTCTTTCTGGTGCTTGTTGGGATGAAAATGTAACCTTCATCCCGTTCTGTGATTTTGAATATACAAAGACAGGAAATGAAATTACAGCACAAAGGTTTTTTTTGTTCTTGAGGGTACTGTAAAATTTGCGAGATATGATTTGGAGATACCTCAAATGTCTGCATACAGTCAAATTCTTGATTTGGACTTTGGAAAGAGTAAGACAGGAGGAGAGGATCTTGAAATGTTTTGGACTGATTAATCGTTACTGACTGAGCTCTATTCACAATTCATGAAACAGAACATCGCATCATGTGAAAATAGACATTTGCACAGCAATCAGATCAAACCTTTAATTAACAACAGCTACTACACTATCCTGAATTATCAAGGTTCACCTAATTCGCTAGAAAAGATTTTCATTTAGACTCCCCTTAGTCTTTTTCCTTCAAAGACAAAGAGGATTTTTTTTTTCACAGCACTTCACAACAACAAAAACAGCACACAGGAACAACATACAATGATGGACAATAGCACACACTCAGGCCAGTTCAGCAAGTCCTATTATTTAAGGCTGCTATGGCTACAGGGATTAGGCTTTTCCCAAAGCGAGCTTTCCTGCACCTTAGTGCTCTGTACCTTCACCCTGAGGGGAATAGGGTAAGGTGATGATTGAGTGGGTGTGTGATGTCCTGTGCTATTCAGGTTGCAGTGTGTGCAATGGCCTTATTGTTTAGCTCTGCGTGGTTGGGTGTGGGGAGACCAACTATCCTGGCATAGTTGTCCTGATTAGCAAAGTCTTACATGTTAAAGAAGAAAGTGGAACGGTACAGTATGATGGGCTGAATAATGCTCCGATACAACAAAAGGAGGAGATGGCGGGCCTAGAGGTTGTGCCTGATTGATCTTTGATGGCTCCAGTGCACAAGAGCCGAAAACACTTTCAGAAAATGCAGAATTAAAGGAATGGTTCAACATTTTGGGAAAACGAGATACAGTGTCTTAATTAGAGAGCTTTAAAGAAGCTGATTTGCAGATTTTCTTACCTGCAGGCAGCTAGGCTAGCAGTTGCCAGTTATGCTCAGCTAAGCTAACCGGATGCTGGCTCTAGTTTCATATTAAGCTGACTGATATTAAGCGGTAACATCATCCGGCTAACTGTTGGGAAGAAAGTGACAAGCTCTTTCCCCAAAATGTCAAACTGCTGCTGTAAATGCTAGTTGCTATAGATTAGGTACACAATGGAAAGCAGCAATAACGATAAGCAGATAAAGAGCTGAGAGTCCAGATACTTTTTGATCAGCTGAGTCTTTGGTCTCTGTTTGAAGAAGAGAGATTTTTGCACTTCAGGCTACCAGAAGGAGCTGCTCAGCCTCTGTTCTGGGCTAAATTTGGCCCTGTAGTATCTACAGTATGTCGATTGAGAGGAGTCACAAGTGCATTCAAGGGCACAAACATACTCGTACAGATGTAAACACAAATTGTTGCTATACCACACATACCAAAACACATATTCAGGCACTTAAACACACACGCACACTGCCTCACACACAGTGATCTGACAAAGAAGAAAATAGGAGCCTCTGTGTTCTCCATGATGAGCAGCCTGAGCTCTGCCTCTGCTGTTTACAATGTTGACTGCAAATTGTAAGCTCCAATTGTTTTCTTCTGTGCTTCACTGCCTCACAGGGATCACAACTGATCTAAAAGAGAGCACTGCGTGACCCATAGTCATATGTCGCCATTGTGTACTATGATGAATCACTTATACACAGAATAATCGTGAATTTAAGCTATTTAATTACACACCCAGGAACACAATTTCTTGCAGCCTCAAACCTATAGACACAGATGTGGATATCCAGATGTGCTCCCTGTGTCTCTGTAGCTGAGATGCGATCAACACAAATGTGGAATAAGAATCAGCCTGAGGAAGCTGTGATTTCTTCCTACATTGCTGCAGTAAATTCTAATATCTTTTTACTCCTTTTCATGGTATTTCCCCCACAGATGTGATTTTTTCCCCCGTTTGACATTTTGTGTAAATACAGTAACAGTCTTGTTAATGTAAAGTATGTTGAATGGGCTTGCAAGTCAGCCTTGTTTGATCAAAGTTAGTTTAAAAGCCAGGGACTTGTGTTGCTGTTGGGTGAAGCATAACACCCCTGGAGAGGACACCACACCATTGCATCGCATATCTATGAAGCAGAGAAGCAAGCAGAGGGTTATCAGAAGCCATTTTGTAGGCTTTTGGTGAACTTCAGGTTTACAAATTATTTTTACCTAGTTTGAGGATGTGGAGTGTAATTATAATGCCCTTCAAAATGAATTTGCCAACATGTTTTCAAGCTATTTTCCTTTTGTAATCTGCAAACAAGGCCATAGAGTGCCTATACATGCTGGTATAATAATAAGCGCTTGTATCCATTAGAATTACATGTATAGTGCATTTTACATGCCCAGCAAGTCATAATTAGCCAAAGAAAGTAATGCAAATTGAACTACTGTTCAGTTTGGTAAACCACTGCAATCTTTTGTCAGATTTTTCTCGTTGTCAGTTTTATTTATTGTTGTGGGAGCTTGTATCAGTGATAATTTCAAAAACCAGCTATCAAATACACGAAAATCAAAACAGTTCCCATGGTAACAGATTAAAGGCTTCTGGTGATCATGAGAGCAGGCTACAGATGTGGGTTGAGAATATAAAACTGTAAAGAATAAGGGAATTCCAGCAGCACTGTGTACACTAAGAGTGTTTTTGACAGGGGAAGTGATTTCCTAATTGAATGTGTTTGAGGAAGCAGATGTGGAGGAATTCAGATGGAAAGATATGTGAATGTGAAAGATGGAGGAGCCTCCAGGGCTTTCCCTTTTGCAGTGGAAGCCCTGCAGGCATTTCTTTAACACAGAGGCAATGTTTGAAGACAAAATATAGAGTGAGGAAAGAGGGAGGTCAGTATAAAGGGTAATAAATGTACATGTTTTGCACTTCATACCTTCATTCATGCCTTTATATTTTTCTTTAATCCACACCTCCCGACCCCAAACTGCAGCTCCACCCAAAACGACCCCTCAGCCACTGTTGGTAAAGTCAGAGACTTGGCTTCTTTCCGCCGGCACTTCCGGATGGGTTTCATGACCATGCCAGCCTCCCAGGACCTCTCCCCTCACTCTTGTGCCTCAGCCATGGCGCCACGCTCGCAGTCCTGCCATGCTGTAGGTGCCGGGGATACGAGTCTGGAGAACGGAGATTATTCCGACACCCAATCCCAACATGGAGGCCGCTGCCCTCCGGCCAAACCCAAACGTCATCCCAGCACTCGCCTCAGCTCCTCATCCACTGACAGCAGAGGACTTCTTGAGACGCCGCCACCTCCTCCGTCCAAACACTCAGAGAAGAAAAATGGTAAGAAATGTGTTTTCAGGTGCATATTCTACAGAGACATTGATCTCCTTGACATGTATATTTTTTTCCCCCTACAGCCATGAAAAAGTCTGACTCTGGAGATATTGGATCAAAGAAGGTCCCTCCTTTAAAGCCCAAGAGAAGTCCCAGCACCCAGCTTTCCTTTGACCCCCTTCCTCCACGTGTGCCTCCTTCTGCCACATCCTTGCCTTTCCAGGCAGCAGACTCTCAGATTCAGACTGGAGACGGGGAGGATGAGCCAGTCTATATAGAAATGGTGGGCCAAGTGTTCACCAGAGAAAACCAGACGGCCACCCCTCACCCTGTCACCCCTGTGGCCACCACCCCTGACTCTGACTCAGACCAGAGTGAGGCCATCTATGAGGAGATGAAATACCCGCTGCAAGAGGACAGAGAGTCCCAGAGACACCTCCCTCCAAAACATGAGAAACTGAGAAACTCTAAACACTTTCATGTCACACCCTCCTCCTCCAGCAGCTCCTCCTCTCTGCCACGCCCCTCCTCTTCCTCTCCTTCCTACTCCAAACCCAAAGCCACCGTGTCAATATCCCATTCATCTCCTCTGCCTTCCTCAGCATCCTCCACCCCTGTCCCCCAGGTCCTCTCTGCCAGTCCACACACCCCAAGAGCTCCTACTCCCTACCTGCTGCAAGGGAGTAAATCCGAGCCTGAGTCCAACACGAAGATCCCAGCCCCTTTCCCCAATCTTCTCCAGCACCGGCCCCCACTGCTTGCCTTCCCTCAGCCGGCAGCAGCCTCCAGTGGGGTTGGGGTGCAAAACAAGGTGTCCGCTTCTGCTAAAATGGGAACTCAAACATCCAGCGTGACAACTCAAGCCAGCACCTCCTCTTCAACTTCTTCTAATGTTCCAGTATCCAAGGAGTCAACAGGAGGAAGTGCCACCCAGCAGGACAAACACAGCAGAGATGCCCAGTTAGGCCCTGCTCCGGGTCTGAGAGCCAGGAGCCACTCCACACCTCTGCCTCCCTCCTCCAAATCCACCTCCCCTTTCTCCCATCACCACCACCACCCTCACCATCGCCCCTCTCACTACCATCACTATCGCAAGCCAGAGAGAGGAGACTCCCCTGTTCCAAACAAGAGCAGCTCTCAGACTTCCACAGTCCAGACACAAACCTCAAGTACAGGCAAGGAAGGCAAGTCTGTGAGCTTCCTCCTGAAGTCGGATAAAGGAGAGAGGGATAAGGATAGGGACAGAGACAAGGATAGGGACAGGGACCGAGATAGAGAGAGGGATAGGGATAGGGGTAGAGACAGGGACAGGGACAGGGAGAGAGACAAAGATAAAGATAAGGACAGAGATAGAGACAGGGACAGAGATAGGGATAAGGACAGGGACAGAGAAAGAGACAGAGAAAGGGATAGAGATGGAGGGCCGTACTGCTTACAGTTGGATCTCGCTCACTCCACTAGCAGCCAAACATCTCAAAGCAGTACCAGCTCAACCCCTACGCCATTGTCCTCATCCCAACGTCCTCATTCTCGCCCCCATCTTCGCTCACACACTCCTCACGGGCTGCCAGCTTACAAGCCTCCCTCCTCGGACAGCCCCCTGCTGTGGACCTACCCCTCCGGTGGCTTCCGGAGACCGCCGGCCTATGAGAGCCTGAGAGGAAGCTCTCAGACGCCGTCTCTACAACAGCCTTCTAGTCTTACTGGTGTAGGTGAGGGGGCATCCAAAAGTAATGGAGGGTCTGCGTCCCTCCAGTCGAAGGTTGGCTTCATGCCCTGGGACAGCAGCGCCAGCTTAGCTGCAGATGAGGGATCTTACTGGCCTATGCAAAGGAAATTGTCCTTCAGCCATGGGAGCAGAGAGACAGAGAGTAAGTCAGAGGTCATTTTAGATGCAGAGTGCAGATATAATAATGCTATATTGAAAAAAAATCCCACTTTTTCTTTTTGAAATATTTATTCTGTTTCTTGTCTCAGAGGATGAAGGGCGTGCGTGGAATGGCAGCGCAGATGCTCTGTTAAGGATGGACAAGGAGGACATCTGCATGGGGTCTCGGGGAGGCCACTCAGGCATCCCAGTGCACTTCAGTGGTGTCACCAGCAGGGCCCTTGGTCACAGTGAGTCCTTGGCCGGTGTAGATAGCAGTCCAGGTTTCAGAGCCCTGCCCAGAGTCGGCCTGCCTCTTCCCTGCCAGACGTTTCCTGCCTGTCGCAATGGAGGTAAGTAAACACTTGTGTGTTTGTAATCTTTTAGTCATAGCCTCTAACCATAATATCTGATTTAGAAAGGAACTATAGCAGCGGATTTACATGGGATTCTTCCGCTGGCTCTGTGGGGTGTCTTACACTGGGACATCTTACATGTTTTTTTGCGCTTGTTTGACATCAAATGCAACTTGAAACCCTCAGACTTTAGGAAAAGATAGATATTCCCCACCCAAGTTACTTTTCTAGAATGGAGTATTATGGCTATATATATATATATGTATACATACAGTGAGCCATGGAAAGGGGATATTCTGAGAAAATAAGTTGTAAATTTATGAGACAGAACTTTGATTTCCTCTGAGATTAAAGTCAGAAAGAAATTCTGAGTTTTTTTCAGTCAATAACAAGACAAGACAAGAGTCAGTGCATGCATAAGGGGAGCTTTCAGACAGGCAGATATGAGGGACTGCAACAGGCCACTTGAAAGCATGTGTCACATCTTAGTCACTTCTGCAGTGTCTGCACTTCATCCCCAGTTTTTTCTTCCCTAATCAGTTTCTCTGAAAGTCACTTCTGTGTTGAACTTATTTTTTAACTGTGCAAGTATTTCTGTAGAAAATTATAGTATTGTGGTCTGGTTGTATAATAATAGTTGAATAGCGTACATTACAGATTAAGATTGATCCCCAAATTTAATTATTATATATGTTCAATAAATTTAATGTAAATCTGTTTATAATATAATAGTAAAATGAGTGATACAGGTACAAATCCCTGTGTAAGCATACCTGTATTATTAAAAATGTGTTCCCCCATATCCATTATTCACAAGTATAAGGTTATTTTATAATTGTCTAGTAGCTTAAAATATAACGAGCACACAATGTACCAAAGCCCTGTCTCAACTCACAGGAGTGTAGTTAGATATCCATAGCTCTGTGTGTTAAAATTATTAAATTATTATTAAAGTTATTTTCCAGTGATCTCATTAGCAGGCACACAGTGTAATGTTTGTTTCTTTACAGAAGTGGGGCGGCTGGGCCGCTCCTCCTCTGCTGCTGGGGTGAGACAGGTGGGTGGAGACGTCCAGAGACAGAGCAGCCTACCAGCACGAGAAGCCCTGAATCAGGTTAATATATAACACCCAGCCTTATAACTATAAACTCTATAAACTTCATTCATGGTAGATTTGCGAGTTAACATTAATATTGTTCTCATTATTACTTCCCCTTCTGCTGGAGACAGTCCTCCTGCAGATCTATTTATAGCTGGTAGATATGCACACTGAGCAGAATAAGATGCTGGCCTCCCTCAAAAGGATAACAGCCGCAAAGAAGTGACGTAGGTTAATATGTAATCTGGAACAGAGAGAATAGTGGATGAGAGAACATGCTGGACTATGTTTTAGAGTGATGAGCTGCAGTCTTTTAGCTGCACATTTTGCCCAGATTCTGGGTGCATAGCAAGTGCTGACGCAGTTTGAGTGTGCTGCAGTCTGTCTTCATGCGGCTGGTTGACCCTCCCTCTGCCTGCAATAGATGAAACAGCGCTGCATCCTGGTGGCTTTCTAGAAGAATTGCAGTTTTATTTAACACGTGCAAGGGTTGGCTGTCGATCATGCAGTTTATTTAGAAATTTAAATTCTGTTATATCATATATCACTATATCAATTCACTGAATTGACTTTTTCCAATGTGTTCAGCTGCATGGTCTGGGCCAACCTCCAGCGCCCTGCAGTCCCAGCAGTCCCAGTGTGTCTCGGCAGCAGCAGCAGCTTCAGCTACACCAGCAGCAGCTCCAGTTAAAGCAGCAGCTCCAGCAGCTTCAGCAACAGCACCACCTACAGCTGCAGTTCCAGCAGCTCGCCCAGCTGGCACAAGGACAGGCTCCTGTCAGCGGGGGCACCACCCAGTCCACAACGCAGACCCAGAGAGACGGCAAGCTGCTGGAAGTCATCGAGCGTAAACGCTGCCTGTGCAAAGAGATCAAGGCCCACAGGCGCCCTGACAAAAGCCTGTGCAAGCAGGACAGCATGCCCATCCTCCCTAGCTGGAGACGGACACCTGAGCCTCGTAAGACTGGCACGCCACCCTGCCAGAGGCCACAGGCCGTCGTGTGGGACACGGCTATCTGAGGTGGAGAGACAGGGCAGCAAGTACAGCACTGAAGAGAGACTAAACACACATATGAGTTGAAAATATTTGAACAATGGATAAGAAACAAGAGTAAAAATGGTTTCAGTAACTGGAAAATTCTTCAAATGGTTGTGGTGAGATAATTACCACAGAGGAGAGAGAGAAAGTTGCTCTTATTGTGTGATAAACTGATCTGAGAGCGGTAATTAAGGTTATTGGAGACTTTGAACTCGTTTCGGGGAAAAACAAAAAAAAAGAGGTGAAGAAAAAGAAGTGTTACAATCAAACTAAATTAATCTCTTACCCGGGTAATTTGTACTTGCTCTGTCCTTTTTGATGTGTTCTAATTGCCAATGATTTTTTGCCACAAAATGCCAGTATTATTGCTACTAAATGAAGACACCGACTTAACAATAATGGGTGGGATGTTTTCTGAGATTGGTGTTGCCAAATTTCCTCCTGACTACTTGAGACATAAAGGAATCATGTATTTTCTCCAACACGCAGTTACACATAGAAACTACTCTGTGGGTGAGAAAAGGCAGACTTATTGATAAGTTATTGAAGTGTTTCTTGAAATCGTGAATGCATATGAGATGTCTTGGTATCAATAGATTGTACTTGTGGATGCAAATAATCATCATCGAGGAGTAAAAGCTACCTACTGTACCTGTTTGCATATTTGTAATGTAAATCTATTTACTTTCTCAACATTTCTGCAATTTTATAGCAATATGCTCCCAATGCTGGAGCAACATAATTAAAACTTGTGTCAACTAGCCTAACATACATATCTAAGACTTGAATAAGTCACATTTACTGTGTCATTCTCTGCATGTCACAATAGACATACAGTATTGTAAAAGAATATGTGTAGAGATGATCATGTCCGACTTTTACATACAGCAGATCTTCACTATGATAACATGTGGTTGTAGAAAAAGATGAATATATTGCTTGGAGTATCATTAGAAAAGGTGACGTGACAGATGGCACATGCTGTGCAGTCCAGCCAAATATAGATACAGATCAATGGTACAAAAACTTCATCACTCATGCTTATCCACAGTTGCACATTAGTGATAGTTCCACCACACAGAAGCACTGACACCCATCAACACAGACTGTCCAATATGGTGCAACTGATAAGACTGTGAGTATTGATCACCTCAAACAGAATGCTGGAACAATCTGCACAAATATGGTAAACGCTTAGGAGAAATTAAATGCTAATGCTCTGTAAATAGATATGTACAACTGTATTGAAAATGTAGCAATTATTTCCATTTTCATACTTGTAATCAATACATATTATGTAGCATATACTGTATAAACATAACTTTGTTCACTTGTTTTTTCTAAAAGAATTAAGTACTTTATCTGCTGCAGCCAGTCCATGCATTACTCATAGTTCTACTAATAAACAGTAAGCCCTCTAAAGAAAGGCACAGTCCAACAGTTGTTTATTTATTTATGCAAGACTCCCTTTAAGCTGTGTCATTGTTTTATTTATGCCTTTTTTCTACATTCATTTTTATTTGTGTACAGATTTCAACAGCTCTTTGTCTTGACATTTTGAATACTTTGCTGCTATCTTGAACTACTGGTGTTGTTCATTCAACTACATGGTGTTACCATGAGAAACATTATTAATATAGTGGTTATTGTTACATATTTGTTTTATTTCTGAAAGCCACGTGAAATGAAGTTTGTACCTTGAAGAGTGAGCCCTTCTGTAATAGTATTGCAGCACTTGAATGTCTCTTGGTTGTTGTTGTTTTATGATAGTTAGCACCAAGCTGTACAGTACAGTACACCCAGTGAAAAGAAGACCTATTTAAATGTTTGAGAGTCACTGCTTGGCCTTTTGTTTTTAGTTCCACCTGCTCGTGTTTAAGGGTCACAGTTTTTTCAAACTTGCTGAGTCCATTTTCAAACAAACACAGGTCAGGTTGAAGTAAATGGGCAAGTGCAATGCATGCAGAGATTCCTTACACTGAAAATGTTCCAATGATACTGACTATTGTGCCCAGACTAATTTCAGATACCAAGAAGTCACCTTTTCACAGAATGATATGGAACCCTAGGTATCATTTCCAAAATAGTTTACAGAAGCTGTTGGTTTGTGTGTCTTCTAAAACAGTGGCCATTATATGAGTGCCATACTATATTGATATGGTAAGATACGGTGTACCTTGGAAATCACTGTAGTGCTATATTTGCATTGATATTGTCATTATAAATAAATTTTATATAATGAACTTTACACAACAAACAGAAGTGTTGCATGTTTTCATGCCTCATGTTTTACAGTGGAGATGGTAGGGAAGTGAACATTATGTTCCCACTGCATTTCTGCAGCAGGTGTTGCAGCAACCTCTGTGTACAGGTGAGGGCGCTACCTTCACTCTTCACTGCCGCTGGTGTGGCCCCATGCATGATACTGGACCACACACACTGCTTCAGTGTAGCACTCAGAAACAGTTGTACTGACTCAGAGTAATCCATCACACCTTAACCTATCTTCATAGTTACATTTTTATATAGTTACTTTACTATGATTAGTTACTTTTCTGGCCAAAAGTTCAGTTTATTGTTTAACAAGGGATCCCACTTACGGCAAGCACCATAGCCCATTTTACTTTTCAATAGCATCCAACGCTGAAATGTCACATATAGCTACATGAGGCACATATACAGACAATTTGTTTCACCATTTCCCAAATGTTTGTGTAAAAAACGCTGAGGTGAAAGCTTTCATTATCTACATTATCATCTGAATATTCAATTTGTCATTATTGGTGCTACAAAATAAAGGAGGGGAAAAAAGGAAACCCTATGCAAGGCTCCTACGTCTATGGCAAACTAGACAGGCAATATGACACAAATAATGACGTCCCTGAATTATTATAATATGAATATGTTGCTGGGTCCAGGATGGATAATTAAACACAACAGTGGGGAGTACAATTCATCAGTCACAGACACTTCAGGGTCCTTTAGGAAGGGGTATTATGCTGGTTTTTCTTTGGGGACGTGACGACACGGGCCTCAGAGCCAATAAAAGGATGCCCTCAGCCATAACACGGTTTGCTGTAAGGGTTGTCTTTCATGCGTGGGCCTGTGAGGAAGGAGGATGCGGTGCAGGTGATTGGCCAGGCGGGAGGAGGAGGGAGCATCTCTGTCGGGTATGACGGATGAGGTGGGGGGAGGGGGGTTGCTTGTAGAGAGAGGCGGAGGGAGTCCTTTACCGCAGTATCACTAGATTTCTGCACCACTCATCAAAACTCTGCGGCATGCAGATAAGAGCTGGGGGGGTAGGGCAGATACTTGGTCTGTGCTGAGTGTAAGACAGCTACCTCGTATTGTTTCTACCTGTTGCTGTTACTAGGCTATAGGAGGGATTTTACTTCATTTTCCATTCACTTGTGCGTTTGAGTAGAACTGTAATTGCCTTTCTTTTTCCCATTGCCACGGCGGTACAGTAGAGCTCTCTCTCTCTCTCTCTCTCTCTCTCTCTATCTATCTCTCTCTCTCTCTGCTCTCTGGCTAATTGTTGAAACGCGGCGCGTATTGTCACATAGAGGTTTGGGGTCCGAACTTGTATGACAAAATGGCAAAGGATGGAGAAAAAGGCGAGTGGAAGGACTTTATATGGAACCCGAGGACGAGGGAGTTCCTGGGCAGAACGGCGAGCAGCTGGGGTAAGTACTGTCCAGCTACAGCAATGCAGTAAACATGGTCCCTAGGCTCTGTAACAGGTCTCCATCATAGTCTCTTAAACCTTTTATAAAGATTCAACATGGTGCTTCATGAGAGGACTCCTTCAGCAATGAACGTGCGTAACTATGATATAGATTTTGCAAAGATAGAAGTTGGGTTGATTATTCTCCCTCAGCGTTCGTTGCCGTCGCTGTCCACTACAATCTGGTGCTGAAAACTGAATGCGGCACAGCTCCCGTAGAAGCCGGCGGATTTTTTTTTATCCTTCGTAGTTTCTTTTTATTTATTTATTTGTGGCACTGCTTTTACTGCGCAGTGCGCTCAAGATAAGGCTGGAGGCATATGGTCTTATTTTACATTTAAATTAGCCAGATTGCTGCAGCACTGCTGAAACAGGTTCCACTCCGTTGCAAAGTGCATGTCATCAGCTCCTCTCTGTGGCAGCAGTGAGAGAGCCTTAGCTAGCTTTACCATCAATTCTGCTGCAGAAAAGACTTTTTAAAGAGAGATGGGTCACTGAAGTTTGGTAGATATATGTTTTGTATGCTTTATCTAATGCGCCTACAACATGATGTCATTTTCAGCCCCCCCCCCATCCCCACTCCCCCAAGATTTTGAAGTCAGATCCCAGCCTCGGTGTGCAGCAGTATTGCCACATATTGTCCTATTTTTTGCCACACAAAGAGCCTGCAACTATTTCAAATATTCATGAAATGATAGGGCGCATATGGCTCTGTTGTAATGACATTGGAGCGTTTTAATCTGGGTAAAGCCGAGGGCCAAATGCTATTTGTATCACCTCCAACCCGGCCCCTCCCAGTGAGTGTAAATCAGTGAGGGATTTAATCTTAATCTAATGACTTCATTGGCTGACAGGGAAGGTATCAATTCAGGAAGTAGAATCTAGCAAAGTCAACCACTTTCAGGAATTTAGATTATTTTTGATCTTTTCACTGGGGACATGATCTCAGTTGCAACGCTGACATTTAGTATTGCAAGTTGTAAGTTTCGTGTGATTGGAATAATGCTGAAAGTGATTTTACTTGCAGTGGTATTCTGGTGATTATGTTTCCTGCAAAGACATACAATTGCAGAGTTGGGAATCAATGACTGCAGCTTCGTTTGCTGGACTCCTCCTGCAGTGTACGACTTAATCCAGCTCAGTCTGTCCCAGGTGCCTTAAGGTCTGGTGGCCTTTTTAAGCTGTGCTCTCTAAGGCTTGTTAATTAGGCTATTTCTGTAGTTAGCCATTACATGTAGGTCTAAGCTTTCGTTTCACCATAGCACTGCCTCATTCTTCTACTTTACATTGCATGCACTGTACCTCTACTCCACTTGTTTGACTGGGTGGCTTACAGCCCATCCATCCATTTTCTACACCCAAGTATCTCAACACGCATGCAGAAAAAGGCAAGAAAACACCCTGGTTAGGTTGCCAGAATCCTTAAAAGGCAAATCTGTCATTCACACTTTTAATAATTATGCAGTATAATGTTTGGTGTTCAGAGCATTAGATCAAAGACTTCTTTGAGGATGAAACAGAACACTTCCATGTGTGTTCTGCTTGGTGTAAACAGCTGTAATGATATGGAAATAACCTTTGTAAAGTAGAACAGTCCTGCAAATTGACATTACATTGCCAGCAGCTGACACCACACAAACATGGCCAAACAACCATCTATTCAAAATAGGACTAATTAAGGGTTCTGCACATCCCACTTCCAAAAACAACAAAAGGCTCTTACTGTAACATAAGAAAAGAGCCTTAAGGGGCCTAATGATTCTGGCTTTAGCATAAGATTGCAGACCATACACGATATAATAAATGGTTTGACATTAAAGGAACCACAGCTCAAAGCTATTAATTCTTTCCCCAGAACATTTCATTTTTAGTTCAGAGATCTGTTTGATCACCAATTTACAAAGTAATTGAGCAGCATGTCCACCTAATTAATTCTGAAAGAAAAGAGACACCTCTTGCCATTATTATTGAAGAAAGCACAGGATGCTGAACCATCCCGCCCTGGCCTTTTGTTCTTTGCTTTCAGCTGCCGTCTGCAAACAAAACCAGGGTGAAAGAGAGATGCTTTACTGTCTATCATCAGTGTGGACTGAGAGGGCAGACTGTAAACCTAACACCCTCTTTGCCAGGGGGGAAAGCCACCCTGCCTGCATGCTTGACCCTGTATGCACGTGTGTGCATCCAGTCTCCCCAGGGTGGTGTCATATTTGTGGTCAGCACAACATCCCCTCTGGATGACAGAGAAAAACACTACCACACTACCTCTGATGCCTCTCTCGCTGTAGTGCCTCCAGCCTGGTCCGGGGCCCGGAGAAATGACTATATATTTAATGACTCAGCTTGGGTCTTTTCCATGCGACAGATGGGATGCTCGCTGCCATCTTACTCAGCCATTCATTCATTTCACCTTGGATTCCAATAATTGTTGGAGCAAAACAAAACACACACTTGAAGATTAAAGAGATCACCCTCTGTAATTGCCCCTCGTGGAGCAGCTTCCCCTTGACATTTTGTTATGGATTCCTGTAAGCCTGACTGAGTGGGGAGGCAGATGCAGCACTGAGCCTGCTGACAGAGCGAGTGAGCTCCACACCGGGGGCCATGCAGCAGAGGCACAGGGTTAGGACACTCAGTTGCTACCCAACGCTGGCCTCAGGTGTTGATGCTTAAAATAAGATAGAAAATGCTATTTTTGTTTTCTTGCTCTCTGTGTGGACAGAAATGCATGAGATGGGATCAAACAGCTGCTTCAAAAGTATTTAACATCACATCATTAGGTTATTGGGGTTGACTGACAACCTTTTCACAGAGGGTTCATCTAACCTCTGTGCATTGATTATAATACAGCATTGGCAGAGTGGTACAATGTTACATATTCCTCTGTAATGTTTTAGACAGTAAATCGATTAGTTAATCATATACTGCACTGCTCACAGTACTTTAATGTACATGTTATTTGTACTATTCATATTTTTGCGCAGACTGACTCCCTGCACTGTTTAATATTTGTTATTGTACATATAACCAACTGTATATATAACCAACTCTGCATACTTATCGAATGCATAGATGCCGGTCATACTGTACGTACAATGTTACATTTGCACTCTCCATTCTCTAACTCTGTCTACTTATTACTGTATAATATCTGTATATTGTAACTCCATTTTACATTTTGTCAGATATAGCATGACTATAACTGTGTATATATTTCTGCACTTCTGGTTAGATACTAACTGCATTTCATTAACTCTGTACCCATACACATAAAGTTGACTCTAATCTAATCTAATCTAATCTAATCTGATATGAATAAGCAACAATTTTGATTTTGATGAATTCTTAGCCATTTATTGAGCAAATGTTCCAGACATTCACTGGCTCCAGCTTCTCAAATATGAAGGTTTCCTGCTTTTCTGATTTACATCATGTCAATTTAATATTTTGGACTGCTGATTGGACAGAAAATGCAATGAGAAGAGTTCTGGGAAATTATGATATCACTGTTTCCTGATGAACCACTAAAGGGGCAAATCAGTAAGAATAATTAACACATTTATTGGCATGACAAACTTAGCTTTTATGTTGCAAATCTATTTTCTTTGTAATGTAACATGAACACTATGGTCTGCTTACACTGTTAATGAAATAGGCCCAGTCTGTGATGGCCTGTAATCTCCTGACCCTGTAACCCAGACTCCAGGGGGTCCTTGTTCTCCTCCTGTATCTCCACCTGTCATAGTTCCACCCCCTCCATGAAAAAGGCAACTCTTTAATGAAATTAGTCAGATACCAGCCATTCAATCGTGGTTTAATTCACAGTTTCAGGCCCGGGGATGGATAACAGTTTTGTCTCAGTTAGGTGAACGCATGCAAGAAAGGCATGAACATACAGTTTGTGTTTTGACCATTAATTGATGAAAGTAACTTTTTGTTATTTTAGACCATGTTGTGGAATTAATGACATTTGAAATATCTAAAGGTCGGTGGATTGTGCGTGAGTGAGAGTGAGAGAGGTAGCTGTAGCAGATGGAATGAACCTCTAGTTTAATGAGGATTAACTGGCCTCATGTGAACATGTTTTGTCAGAAAATGACCACACAGACACAAGACAACACAGCTGCGACATATTATTAAAATGATTCCATTATCAATTTAGATGTCAGATTATTCATTTTTTTTAATATGTTTGCGCATTATGGTAATTATGAAATGGACTGCACTTACCTAAAGTTGCAGATGTTAGTCCAATAATCAAAAACTTTCCATTGGAATGCAAAGCCACTAGCTCAACAAGTGTATTGTCAGACATAGAAGTCTTAAATACAGCAATCATTGCAAACAAAAACACTGGTGTGTTTTTTGTGTAATGCTTATCCATTTTTTAGGTTTAATTGTATTCTTAATGAATAATTGCAGTACATGGTAGTTACTACAAAGGCCAATTTATATGTTTAAAAATTGAATTAATTTGGAGTTAAAGTGAAGGGAAGATTTTGGCTATAGATACGAATAATATGCATCACAAAAAAAAATATTAAGGCAACAAGTGCAAAATCATACAATTATACAGTATATATATATAACCATAACTGAATTTAGCAGGGTAACTAGTTAGCCTGTTTAGTAAACTCGCCATATAAGCTTAGTTAGATATTACTTTAAAATATGAATGTAGGATTTATGTGACAGGTTTAATTTCTAATATCTTTTTCAGGAGGGTATCTACATGCTTGATTAAGTGCATTTGTATGATTTACCTTTTGAAGTAAGATGTAGGCCTACTTATTTTCTCCTGAATAAGATAAAAGTTTAAAATTCTATTAAACTGAATAGTCGGATCGATTCCTTCTGTGCATTGATATTGCACACAGTTGATCCAACTCTCTTCTTTTCTTGGCTGCAGGTCTTATTATTCTCTTCTATATAGTTTTCTACATCTTCCTGGCCGGCTTGTTTACACTCACCATGTATGTCATGCTGCAGACCTTGGACGACCACAAGCCGACCTGGCAGGACAGGCTCGCCACTCCAGGTGCAGTAACTAATGACACAAACCGCATGACCACAGCTCACAGTCCATGCCGCGTTGTTGTGAACTCCCTGCTGTCTCTCTCTGTGACTCACAGGCATGGTGATTAGACCCAAAGCAGACGAGACCTTTGAGATCGTCTATAACATCAAGAACACTGAGAGCTGGGACATGTACGCTCAGGCCCTGGACAAGTTCCTGGCACGTAAGTCTGGCTCTCGGCCTCTCGTACAGTGACTCAAAAAGCTTACTGCTGTGGATTATCCAAAGATCTGGAATGAATTGTTTTTTACCTAATAAGAGATAATTCCTTTACAGTCAGCGGATAGGAGATTGCTTTGCATCAGGGTTTTAGCTGAGTCATAAGCCCTTACAAACAATATAAACCCCACTCCCGCTCTCTCCCCTGCAGCCTACAACTCCTCCATCCAGGCCCAGAAAAATGACGAGTGCACCCCAGACAAGTACTTCATGCAGGAGGACAGCGGTGATGTAAAGAACAACCCGAAGCGCTCCTGTCAGTTCAGCCGCAATGTCCTGGAGGAATGCTCTGGACTCACAGACCGTTACTATGGATACCAGGAGGGCAAGCCATGCATCATCATCAAGCTGAATCGGGTATGAAAGACATCAAGTGAAGGGAAACGAATAGTGTTGCTAGGAGACATTGAGTGACTGAGATAATGAAACTAGTTGGGAATGAGGAAAAGATTATCCCGGGGAAAAAAAGAAGACCAGATTATAGCTACTGGTTATTGCAGTTATTGTTGATTTCTAGCATATTTCAGAAATTTCAAGCATGATTTTCCATTCCTGTGTGTTTGACTAAGAAATGGTATTGGTGCTGGAGATCTGTTGCCTTTTCTTCTCGCCAGGTGATTGGGATGCTGCCAGGAAAAAATGGACAGGCTCCATATGTCACCTGTGGTGCAAAGGTAATCCCTTTTTGTCTTTCACAATTTGGATTTCAGCCCATTCATAGCTATTGTGCCTCACTCTCATCTGCAATATGCCACCTGTCGCTCATCTCCATTCTCTTTAATGTCTGTGTTTATATTGTTTCAACTGCATTGCACGTCACTTACAACACCTGTGTATGTTGCTGGTCTCCACTTTTTTTCTTTTCTTTCTTCATTTGTTGCATTAATTTGCCTACTCTCAGAAATACAAAGTTGGCAAAGATGAATGGGTAAGAAATGCACAGAACCAGTGTTTTAGACATGCATAGTAGTAGTGTAGATTGTAGTAATATTTATATGTATGCAATCAAGATGAGGTTGTTTTGCATTAGATAGACTGCTGAAGTAGAGTAGAGAAAGAAGGAGCTTAATGATTCTGTAAAACTTCAATTAAAAACCTAGTCCTAATTAGACTGCTGTCCCTTTTACTGAAACTGGTGTGGCTACATGTCCTGACAAGTAAACGCAGGTCTCAATTAGTCAACTGTTTTGGTTTTTATAGAAGCTTTTTGACTGTAAAAAGTCTCTTGAGCTAGTTCTTAGATTACACATACAAATATAAATGTTTAAACTATTGTCAATAAAAATCATTAGATCAGTTTGATTTTCCACAATTCAATTGAAACAGTTCAGATGTTGCATGGTCGGTCGCTCTCTCTCTCTCTCTCTCTCTCTCCCTCTCTCTCTCTCTCTGGTTGGATGCGCTGTCTCTTAGCGCTAGATCAAATGAATGATTCCTAATTAGTATGTTATCTGAGTAATATTCATACTGGTTGAAATAAATAATTTCATAGTAGCCTATTTCCAGGCAAGTTGTTTGTGAAAGGTTTTAAAGGCCTATATAGACGTCAATCCCAACTATAGGCCGGGTGAGTTCAGTGAATAAAGCCAATAAAAGCCTGGGGCTATTAATTGAAGTTTTACGGTAAAAGAAATTATCTTTCAGGCCATAACTAATGAAGTTGTTTGTAACCTCACCTCACCTCAGAGAGAAGACAGTGATAAAATTGGGGAATTGCTGTACTTCCCTCCAAATGGCACATTCAACCTTATGTACTACCCTTACTATGGCAAGAAAGCTCAGGTAAGTTTGTGTCTTCAATCCAAATATTACTTAATGCGATCAACATTGCTGTTAATAACTGAGCAGCTTGTTTGAGTGACTCATATGCATGTCTAGACAGTTTATTAAAGATATACCATACAGAATACATTGGTTCCCGTGTTTCAAGTGTCCTTGGATCTGTTTTTGCAGGTGAACTACTCTCAGCCTTTGGTTGCTGTCAAGTTCCTTAACGTTACTGTCAATGAAGATGTCAACGTCGAGTGCAAGATCAACGCTAACAACATTCCCATGGGCAGTGAAAGAGACAAGTTTGCTGGAAGAGTGTCTTTCAAGCTGAGGATCAACACTGATAAATAGGTTTCCCTTTTCCTCTCCTGAAAACTACTTTCTTCATTCTCTGCAACATTGCACATGCACAGAAACAAATCTCAGCATTCACACCCTTTTTAGGATTTGTTTACAACCCCCACATTTGTTTTGGGCAACTGTTTGTCCAGTTGTGTGACAAGATGAGGCAAGAATAAAAGGGTGATAATCCTGTCATCGTTTCTGTCTGTGAGCTTTGGGACAAATTCTTTTCTGTAAATTAGTTTGAGGTGACGTCTATTTATACTGCATGACAAACTAGGGGATATAAAGGATGTGAACTATGTGTTTTCAAAGTTTGCAAGGATCAGCAACATTAACACTTTTGCTGCTCCCCTCCTGCTGCCTCATATAGAGTATCCCTCTATATATGAATATACACAAATTACAAAACAAAAGGTGTATACCTACAGTATTTATATGGTATCATAACCTTATATCGGTACGTCTTTTTTGTCGCACTTACAAGAATAATCCAACAGACTCACATATATCTTGGTGGATGGATGCAGAGGTGAAGCCATTTTGCATGTGTGTATTGTCTTTACTGTTCTATGAGGGCAGGAGGCCCCTGTGTCCCACCTCTCTGCTAAGTGTGAAATAAGGTTATGTTAAACCACTGACCACCAGGGGGGACCACACTGTAATTTACTAAACCTCACGCACAGCAAGTGTGTGTTTCAACATACAGTAACATAGGCATCTCCCAAAAAAATGGGAGTTACAGTAGAGGTCAAAACCTTTAAGAGTGTGTGTGTGTGTGTGTGTGTGTGTGTGTGTGTGTGTGTGTGTTTGCTTGTGTGTTCCATTAACAGGTCCCATTTCATATTGTAGGTCGGGAAGTTGCATGCAATGTGCAATATTCATTAAATGGCATACATTATGAATGCTTGAGTCCAAATGAGAAGGTTTCCGTTAAATGATAATTGTTTTAGATCATTTGATATTTACACGGGCTGTTCGACCTGAGAGTAGCTTGTAAAACACATATGCCATTCATATTTGGGTCACTGGAAACAGTCATATCAACACCACTGACGCCAAATGAAATCTGATAGCAGACAGTACATCAGTTATGTTTTGGACGTCTTACAACATCAGATTGACAAAAAACACGATTTTGTTTTGCCCCTATAACTCCCAGTCAGTTAGTGGCTAACCAGAAACTTCCAGTCTCCCAGACAACCATCTGAATATCAAATGAAAACAGCAAAAATGATCCTCCTGCTTCACAGTGACGTTACACTTTCTGTTACTGTGTATATCATTTAATTCCCAATGTGAAACCAGCAGCCATTTTCTTGTGTCTAAATTTTTCATCATTTAAACATTAATATTTAGAGTTGTTTTTTTGCGTGTATTGCATCTATATTATATGTATCACAAATAGATGCCATTATCATATTTTGTATTGATTTGCACTTGAAGTGTGTGTTTTCTTTGTTTTTTGTTTGTGAAGCTGAGTTGAATTAATTAATGTACAGTTTTGGAGGAGAAGAATGTAGTAAGTTTGTGTTTGTTTCCTTTGTTTGATTCATACTCATTATCATCCTCTACAATATTCATCCAGGGTATCAAAATTAATAGTTTACATATAATTTTAAACGTGACTAGAGTTTTGGATATGTGAGTTGTTTGAGTTTTGTTTTATAGGCCTGTAGGAAATGAACAAAACTGGAAATTTGATCACATAGAAACTCAAATTGTTTTTTGTTGTTGTAGTGTTCACTACTGTTGTATGAATCAGTCTAAAGGCTAAGCCATCAGGATAACTAGACTACCAGTTTGAACAACCAGCCTTTTGAAAAAGCATAGATAAGGCCTGAGTTTGCTGCTGGAGCTGTTTACTTAACGCGTATTCATTACCTATTGGCACGGCTACAAAATTGTACCAATGTGACTGTGATCCTGCAATGTCATCGCAGCAAATGTAGAACACGAGCATCTGTTCACTCACATTAAGGTCTGGCTTGACTCCAACACTTAATTTCTCTCAGAGCAATGTGTTTGTCAGTATGCTCGCAAATATCTCACAGTGGTCTAAAAAGGACCTCATTATCTGATCCATTCTTGACAAAGAAAGAATAGAATAGATCTAATGTGATTGTCTGATCTATATCGGAGGGATATTCAGAATGAACAGTCATCTGAGGCTCTTTTGTTTCCATTTTTTGAGACAGTCCACTGACCAGTTCACGTGCATTTCTCCTCTGCATTTCTGCAACACTTACTTAATTTCACTGTAATCTCTTAATCTGGTCGGCTAATCCAGAGCAGGCCCGCTGAACTTCTTTACCCTACTTTGTCACTCCTCCTCCTTGTGTCAAACGCCTGATTCACTGTCAACGTCTTCAAAATAGATGAAACAAGGTTTATTCATGTCTTGCATTCTGTCCTATTTTCCCTTAAACATTAGTAAATTAATTAAAGCCCTTTTAATTCACAACACGGCAAATTCAATGCTTGGACATTCTTGTTTTATTCATGTGCATGTGAAGATTAGTTCTTCAACCAAAGATCTTCATGACAGTTAAATTTTTATTTATTTGTGCTGCACTGACAGATCCGTAGCAGCAGATCTGAGTAAGGATTTCATGCAGTGATACTGTAGGATGCAGGTTGAGGGCTAAACACCCTGAGTTATTAAAAGGCCTAGTCTTATATAATAATAATACGCACAAAAGGAACATGTCTCACTACAACATAACAGTGCCTCCTGGTGGACACAGTGTTGTTCCCCAGTGTCACAGAATGTTATTTCCAGTTATCTCCATTTATCTGGGGTGGGTTTCTTTAATAATTTGGAGATGTCCTCAAAAAGCAATATATTTCTTTCTTGTGTGGCTGTGTAATGTATTTATTGGAAAGGCAGTAACAAAATCAGTGCAACAGGTATCATCAAGTGCAGTGAATCAAAAATGGAAAGAACATGCAGATATTGCATTCAGGCAAGTTTGCCAGTTTGCATTATCATAATGGAACAATATAATGTTTTTCTTTATAAAAGAGTATTTTTATTGCTATTTTGTTTAAAAGAGGAGAAAATGTATAAGCTTGGATTGTATCATGGTATGGGAGCTACCTGGCAGGTTTTCATCATTTAATTAATCGGATGGCAAAATGTTAACAGCTTAGTTGGAAATGTTTTTTTGTCATTGTTTGAGTCCTTTATACTTTCTTAAATGGAGCTCTTAAAGCTTGCAATGAAAGTTCTCTGGACACTGCAGTCTTTTGCATCAGAATTAAGACATTAAAGGCAAATTGATAGTTTGGTGAATACATCAGAATGAGCAGTGCTTTGTGAGAACTTTCAAGTGCAAAGCATACAGAAACATTTCATAAAAACACAAAACTACAACAAGGCCTGAAACAAATGTCAGAGAGTCAACTACTCATGTTTCAAATAAGGAATAATTTCAACAAACCTCAGACCCCCCTCGTCTTAAATCATACTGTTGCCTAAGACTGTGGTGCAAGGATAGTTCAAGAAAGAAATCAATTAAATTTGTTGAGATACTCTCGTCCCAAAAGGATGATAATTATATTCTGGATCTTTATTTTTTGCTCTTACTGTATGTATATTTTTGCTCATGTTTACTGCAAACCAAGATAGAGAAATAAATAAATGTCATTTAAGGGAACTCAGACTCACACTTCATTTTTGCCTCTTGTCATCTTTCCTTTAGTGTTTGGTGTTATCAGAGGATGAGGGAGGGAATTAATCAATCATGGACAGACACCAACATTAATGTGGTATGGCCATAATGCCAATACGGATCCTTTCATCATAGTTTATTATGAGTCAGAATTTAGTCAAATACTGTATGGACTTTATGGGGGACAGATAAAGAAGGCAGCTAGTGTCAGGAGTAATGTCAGATGGATATAATCTAATGTAATCTCATTCACTGTAATCCTCATGGCATGCAGCACCAGTGGACACCAGTGTTATCCTGTGCACACATCCTGGTACATGGTGCAAAAAAGAATACCCACCTTGCCACGTGACACGACAGTCACGTGTGAAGTGAACTAGTGAGAATCTACATTTTGTTTTCACAAAGAGTATCTAGAGGAGTTAGATACATAGTAGAAATGCCAGCAGCAATCAGTCATCCTCCTACACACATCACACGTCAAAGGCCCCAGATTTAAGACTCAGAAATATGTAGATCCTGTTTTAAATCTGACGTTTTTTTTCCTTTGGGAGTTACTCTTATATAGTCTGCCACCAATTGCTTGACAAGATTACAGCCGAAGTATATTTCCTCTTACTGACCTTCAACCAGCTCCTGTGTCCTGTTCACTCCGACGCTTTAGGCTCTATACTTATCTCTCCTTTCTTTCTCCTCCTCAGAAAGAGAGGACACAGAGCAGGAAAAGGGTGAAAGCCAGGATTACGTAGCATTAGAGGCATTTGTAGGTTTAAAATAGTCTGATCAGGAGTAGTGTCGGTGTCTGATACTTGTACATGCTATTCTCTCTGTTACACACACAATTTTATATTGTTCAGATCAGGACTTTTTCTAATATTTAGTCTATAACATCTAATATTTTCTCACAGACAAAGATGTGTTACTGAGGGAATGGCCTTTGCATTTGAGTTAGGGTTATATCCACCAAGATGTTAGAAAAGTGAAGATTAGTCTGTAGCAAAGCACTGGAACCTCTGCCGGATGGTGGATTCAGTGGCATTCAAATGTCAGAGTTCTAATGGACCAGACTACGTCACAAAATGAGCAACTGGATTACAGATATTTAATTATTCTGAACATGATACAAAATCTTAAGGGAGAAATTATTACTCCAGTTACTGTGAAGCACCATATTGTCCTTTGTTCAGCACACATAGATTTGTTTTGTATCCTTTAATCAGGATAGATTAGTTCCAGATTATAGGGCTACAAGGGATCTAGATGTTGGCTGTTCTGAGATAGCAGAATAAATCATTAACCATTAACTACAATTAAAACAGCAGCATCCTAATTGTACATGTACATTAAACATGTACAATCTGATGCAAGCTATTACAAAATCACCTCCTCTGTTGCACAGTCTTAAGAACCGTATGAGCTTCACTAATGTTGTATTTAGCAGGGTTGCTGTGGTGTTCATGTTATTGTGTCCACTTGCTTAAATAATCCAAATACCTCTCAGATGAGGTCATGTCCAGACTTGATCTCATAAAATTTGATGAAGAATGTCCACAGACTGAAAGCAAACTGACTTTCTGTATTAGTTGATTGTTGACACAGCGCTTTGTTTGGGAGGGAAAACATGGCACATGTGAATTTTAGCTGAAAATATCCATTCATGTTTCAACTCATTTGTAGCAAGATGTTTATGTGTGATGCCCACAAGGACAGTGCAAAGTCTGATAGTCTCCTTTTCTATGGCAAGTCCAGCATGCCATTTTCCTCCAGTGCTTTCTGTGTCCTGTTGTAAACCTCTACAATGGCCCGAACCACTCTTTTCAGTATTGTGCTCAGTTCCTGTTGGTTCTGCACACACACCAGTCTGAAGAAGAAACCCCGCTCTGGCATGGCAATGAAGGCTAGCTCGGCAGCCCTGCGGACGAACCAGGTATGGTGGTTTGCGAGGGTGTTCTGGTAGGCCTCGCGACACAGCTCTGAGGGGCTCTTGAACCGTCCAGCCACCGGTGTCTCAGCCAGCTTCTCCAGGAAGAGCTTCAGCCAAAGCAGAGCGCGATGCAGACGCAGAAGTGTCCGGCATCCAGAGTCTGTCTGTTGGTGGAAGTTCACCACTCCTTGATTCAGCTCCACCAAGATCATGGAGCGCACAGAGTGGTAAGCACCACTGTGTTGTGAGGCCTCCAGATTATTCTCTGCGTTCAGTGAGTGCACATCTGGGCCAAGCTCTGCTTCAGGGTTTTCTTCTGCCAACAGGGCCAGTTGGCGGATTATAGAGGTTTTGCTTTCTATCTCTTTAGATATCAGTCCCACCATCGGGCCCAGCGCTTCCATAAACCTAGAGGAGTGACACAGAATATTTTAGAGTCCAGATTATGTCATGAACCTAAATCTCTCTCACCGTACTCTTAATTTATCTGATGATCTTACCTCACAAGCTCGTCCCAGCTGGACAGATACGGCTGCAGCAGCACATCGGAGGTGTAGGCCGGTGCAGCCCGCAGGTGGGAAAGCAGCAGTGACACCTGGAAGGTCTGACCAGGGCACTCCTCCAGAACCTGCGGGCCCTCAACCCCATGGGCCCCACTGCTGTTATACAGCTGGTGAAACTAAAAGTGGGGGGAAGGGGAGGCGTGTGGAAGCGATATATAGGACAAAGAGAGAGAACATGGAAGTGATTCATCACATTCAAATGAACCATCTGCTTCACAAAAATCTACAATGTGGAGGAAATGGAATAAGTAATGAAATGCTATGTAAGTAGCTTCTGCTCCTACCTTATTCCCCTGATTATAACCTTTCAAACAAGACTCCCAATGGTAATCCAAACCTCCCTCTGCAGTGAGACATTGTGAAGAGAAACAAGAGAACAGTTCGTATTACTTGTGGAAACTTTCCCACTGAAACAGAGGCTTTCTGTTTCTGATAACACTGCAACTTTACTGCAGCTCTGTGTCAAACATGTTCTGAGCTGTATGCGAGCATTTGACACATCAATATAGTTTTGCATTTCCATGTAAATTATAAATTATAAAGAATGTTGGGTCAATGGGACACGCATTTTCCTTTCAAAAGTTGACAAAGTGCTTTACATAAAAGATAAAAGCAACATAGGGAAATATTTTAAGGTGGTATGGTGAATTTGACAGCAAACTGTTGCTCATTTACACATCCAGCAGTTACAGAGCAACATTATCTTTCATTTGGAGTTGTGTTTCTGGCCACCTGGTGAATGCAAGTTCAATATTAACTCTCTTTTAGCTCAGCTTTTGGTCTCTACCACCTCCTGAGGGAAATATCTGGCTCTTCAGCTGCTCAATGCTCCACCACCTTCACTAGCTGGTTGCTGACTATGTCTGTCTGCCTTTTGGTTCTGAGCAGGTAGCATACAGTGGGTTTTCTCTGAAAACAGCTGCCCTCTGCTGAAAACAATGCTATGAGAGCAGTGAAAGTGAAACAAAACAGTACAATTGTGGGTTGCATAGCTTAACAAGGAGCTGAAACTTACTATAAAGCCTATAAGGCCTTGAGTGATAACTGTATGTAGGGTCATCACTACGAGCTTCCCCTTTCACATCGTCTTTCATACATGGGGATTATAAAAATATTGCGGTTTATATTAAATGAGAGAATCCTTAGTTTTATAATGGCTCAGTAACAAGCATCACTGTCATGTTAGATATCTGGTGTCCTGTTAACACGAGAAACTGGCTGACTATTTGTTCTACACTTGATTAATTCCAGTCCAGTTTTAGATCATACTGTACATCATGTAGCACAAAGACAAGCATTCCTAAGACAGGAAATAAGTTTTGTTGAGTTTTAATCCTTTTTGAGCTCAGTCCAGCCTGAGACAAAGCAAATCCTTTGATTTTAATTGACTGTCTCAAACAATGACTTCCTCAGCAAAATGCAAGCACGTAGCTGGGATCAATATCAGGCCAAATTTAATTCTCTAACTACATGACTCTATTGGGCCACAAAATGCACACACTATACTATATAGCAGAATAAGTTGCAGTTATGAAAATAACCATTACATGAATTTGAAGACTGCTATACAGTACATATTTCATATTCAAATTAAGACATTTATTGGTGACAAATTTGTGGGTTCATTCCAGTATTTCCCAGCATGCAGTTGCTAGTTCAACTGTGGTACATTTATTTGGGAACTTCTGGCATTCCCTCAGAGGCCCCTGCAGGTATTCAGACCACACATTAGGGACAGACGTATCCAACCACCTTACAACAAAAGCCACAAAAGTTGCCTGTAATGTCGCACACAAACGTGGTGCGACCTCGAAGCTAACCCTGGAAGACTGTCCTGACCAGAGAGCCTGGCTAGTTAGCCTTACTGAGCTACCACACTGCCTCAGTTTGAATTTAACACAGAGATCGTCTCACAGCTGTCAGAAATGTATTTCTAACTTGACAGTGAACTACGGAAGATGCTGCCAAAAAATGTCAAGAGGAAAGTGAAGATGACTAACTAAGAGCTGTATCTAAATTTAAGTTTCCTAATTGAGTTACTATAAGGATACTGAGCTGGCTGTTCATGCATAAAATCTGAAAACCTTTCGGCTGAGTTTGCACTCTGACTCACGTCTCTCTTAAATCTTTGAATTTAATCCAAGCTCAAGAAGAAGATCATGTGGTCACAATTGAACATTGTTACACAGCTTACCAGTCATCCCCCCCCCCCCTTGAAATGACAAACAAAGATACAGTACAATATTTTTGGTGACATATTCAAATAAACAAAGGTTCCTACAAGAAAATAGAGAGAGTTTGGTGATGATTTGCATTATTGCCCTATAGATCATTATGTCCCAAAAATCTTTGTCTACAAAATAACATGTGTAAAAGTCTATATTTAGGGAATAGTTTATCTAATGTGACTGAAATAGTTATTTTGTCATTTCATTCCAATAACATTTCAAATCATAGAAATATTCTGTCAAGTTGTTAAAATAATTTTTGGGCATAAAGAGTGAACAAAAGTGGTGTGACCACCATGCTTGATTCTGCAGCCACCTCAACATGTGACACATTCCTGATCTGGAGCACAGACATTTCAAACAAGAGAGGCATTGTATAGGTAACACAGAAATACTCACGGATCCACAGGGAGCCCAGGACCAGCAGCAGGACTACAATAGCTGCAGCAGCCCTGCTCTTTATACCCATACTGAAGTCCAGTTTCAGTCTGCCCAGTCCTTCCCTGTTACTTCTCGTTTTCCTTGTCTTTTAATTCCTCTGTGTCTCAGATGTATCCCTGTCCCTTTGCACAGACTGTCACCACAATTACTCCCTACAGCACCACCACCTCTGACCCCCCCCCCCCCAAATCTTTCATACTTTCCCCCGAAACCCTAAATAAATGGTTCTTTCAACCATTCTACCTGAAAGTGACAATCACTGTTTAACTCTATTTTACAAATGCTGTTTTCCCTCGTCAGAGTATTACAACTCAGCCTGTTGTTGCTCTTTATTTGTTTTATTTTCTGTGACTTTCCTTGATTCCCGTCTTTCCTCTATCCAGCCTTTGTTTCTCACTGATCTGGAGACTGCCTCTCTCATGATGTGTTACTCAATCTGAGGGTCCAGAGATCAGCCGAGCTCAGGCACTGGCTGATAAAGCAGAGCCAACGTAGATTGTCCGCCAGTAACCCTCTTCCTTCAGATTCATCTTCTTCATATGTGCTATATTCCTGGTAGCTTTGAGTAAACACTTGCTCCCTCTCCTCTCCTCCCACCACCACCTCCCTCCCTCCCCTTCTCCCTTCTCTCTCTCTCTCTCTTACTCTTACTCATTCACACACACTGCGGAGAGCACCACCATGACCATCACACATTACAACAGTGCTGACACACATTTCTGAAAACATGTTGCTTTAAAGGACAATATAACATGAAACATGTGAATCTCTAAATGTAAACAAATGCATTATAAAACCACTCTTTATGTTAATCTTTATTACTTTGTTAAAGTCATATAGTCATAGCAACCTACTTTTAAACTCTGTATTGATTCATTTGTGGGACAACACAATCTCCTTTTGGTGGCTGATCAGAGAGCGATGTCATACCAAAAGCATGTTTGTCAATGAATAACAAAGTCTAACCAAGCTTATCTGAGCTGAGATGGCAGAAAGGATTGCTCCTTTTTGTCCATCCATGCTAATCTAATTCTACATATGAAAAAGACATCTGCATAGTGGGAGCAAACAAAATAGATCACTTTGAGATAAAATATTTTACACACATTGATTCATACTCCATAACTAATATCATTTAGATTTCTAAATGCCAATTATTTAATGATGTCATTTGATTACTCAAGTCTAAAGTCTGAGACAAGTCAGTAAAACAGGAGGACTGCTGTGGCACATGCAGGGTGTTCCCATGATTATCACTATCAGGGGAAACCCACTGATTGCTCCCTGTCACTGGGTTTGTTGCTGCTGTTGCTGTTGCTATGGTGGGAGAAGACATTGAACTCCACACTCAAGCCAAACCACGTGTGTGCTCATGAAGACGGACTAAACAATGGTGTTTTGCGGAGGAGCGGGAAAAAAGCAAAAGCAGGGGCTTAAATGACTTGGCTGGGAGGGGCCAGTCATGGGGCCTTCACTCACACAGTGCAACCAATGAATGATCTTATCTGAAATAGCAGGCAGCAAATCACAAGGGGAGACTGAATCCCTGTGAAAACATGTGACCTTTTCAGAAGATTTGTTCTCATGAAATAGCAAATAATTCAAAATATGTAGTCCTTACAAATGTATGTTTGTGGTAAAACACACACACACACACACACACACACACACACACACACACACACACACATGAATTCACACTTTGTGAGTATATTTATGGAAGTTTAGTAGACAGGGAAAGAGGTGTTTTCACTGTCCAATACAACCATGCTGAATGAAGAAACAATTCTATAAGGTCAGAACATTTAACATTAGCATTATGATTATCAATGCAATCCAGTTTGTTTGCTTGTCAAAAGCTGCCCAGGCTTCAACAAAATTATATGGTTCAAAGTAGAACAGACATCTCTGAAGCTGGACAATTGAGTGTGCTGGCAATAGTGCAGACGTTCAAAAGCAAATGACAAAAGGTGTCCGTGATTGTTATTGATTCTTGTGTCCCATATTGCCTTGCAGGATGAGGTACAATCTTGTTTCAAACTTCTATTTACAATGAGTATTCAACATTCAATGTAAATGCCTTAACAGAAGTTTATGTTGAGAGTGAATATGCTTTTATAGATTCAACATTTTGAGACCTTTTCCTGATGTGAGTATCTCCATCCATGGATGCATAACAGGCACTACTGATTTAAAATTATTATTGCACACTCAGATACAGTCCAACCACATTAACTCTACAATGGTTTGAACCCCCTACTTCACAGAATGTGGCTATATTTGCAGCAAT